GATCTACAGATTCAATGCAATCCCCATCAAAATTCCAATGACATTTTCCTCTGAAATGGAAAAAACTATCCTAACATTTATATGGAATAACAAAAGACTACAAATAGCCAAAGCAATCCTGAGCAAAAAACACAAAGCTGGAGGCATAATGCTACCTGACTTTGTTATACTACAAAGCTATAATAACAAAAACAGCATGGTACTGGCATAAAAACAGACACACGAATGAATGGAATAGAATAGAGAACCCAGAAATCAACCCATACACTTACAGCCATCTGATCTTTGACAAAGGCAGCAAGTCCACACACTGGGGAAGAGACTACCTCTTCAGCAAATGGTGCTAGGAAAACTGGATATCCATATGCAGGAGAATGGAACTAGACCCATACCTCTCACCATATACCAAAATAAACTGAAAGTGGATTAAAGAATTAAATATACAGCCTGAAACAATAAAACTTCTTAAAGAAAACATACGGGAAACACTCCAGGAAGTAGGATTGAGTACAGACTTCATGAACACGACCCCAAAGCACAGGCAACCAAAGAAAAAATAAACAAATGGAATTATATCAAACTACAAACCTTCTGCATAGCAAAAGAAACAAAAGAGTTAAAAGATAACCAAGAGTGGAAGAAAATATTTGCAAAATATACATCTGACAAAGGATTAATATCCAGAATATACAAGAAACTCAAACAACTTTACAGAAAAAAAAACAAGTAACACAAAAATGGGCAAACGAGCTGTATAGTCATTTCTCAAAGGAAGACATAGGAATAGCCAACAGACACATGAAAAAATGCTCAACATCACTCAGCATTTGGGAAATGCAAATCAGAACCACACTGAGATACCATCTCACTCCAGTCAGGATGGCTAATGTCCAAAAGACTGAGAATGATAAATGCTGATGAGGTTGTGGAGAAAAAGGAACCCTCCTACACTGTTGGTGGAACTGCAAAATGGTGCAGCCTTTATGGAAAATGGTTTGGAGGTTCTTCAAGCAATTACAGATAGATCTACCATATGACCTGGCTATTCCACTGCTGGGATTATACCCAGAGGAATGGAAATCATCATGTCGAAGGTATACCTGTACTCCAGTGTTTATTGCAGCACTATTGCCAATAGCCAACAGTTGGAACCAGCCCACATGTCCATCATCAGATGAGTGGATACAGAAACTGTGGTATATCTACCCAATGGAATTCTACTCTGCTATAAAAAAGAATGAAATACTACCATTCGCAGCAATATGGATGGACTTAGAAAAAATTATATTAAGTGAAATAAGTCAGTACAGAAAGAAAAATACCACATATTCTCACTTATTTGTGAGAGCTAAAAATAAATAAATAAACACACAAATTAACAGGGCGGGGTGAGGAAGAAGACACAACAATCACAACAATTCCTTGAACTTGTTAAGGCAAGTGAACAGATAGGATGATGGGTGGGAGGAGGAGAAAGAAGGGGGAAAGAGGAACTGGTAAAGAGACACGAAAATCAACTACATTGTATATTGATAAATTTAAAAAGTAAATAAATAAAATACCTCATAGATTAAAAAAAAAAAATAAAGACCAACTTGCCCTTGGGGGAAAAAACTTTGTAATGCTTTCCCTAATTTAGTCTAGGTAGGTCATTCTGTTAGGATCAATAGCAGTAAAATAAATTGTTTTGAAGTGGTGATTTTAACTGTGTTGACAGGAATCAATTATTTATATCATGAATTTATTTTCATTATTTTTAGAAATAATTTCTCTCAATTTATTCAGAGAAATAATGTCTCAAAATATTATTACTGTATTCAGTATACTGCCTGTGCTGGGTCTGCTCCCTTACATACAAACTGTTGCAGAAACTGTGTAAGGTTGCTGTTTGAACCACTCACTATTAAAGTAGTTTTAAAATGGCTATTAAAGAACCCATTCAAATCATGTTAATAGTCATAGACCTGGGGATAGTACCTATCCCTATGAGAAAAGGGTTATTTAGTTAATTACCTAAAGTCTCCATTAAACCCACCCCTCTACCTTAACCAAAAACCATCAAAGCTGTACAAGAGTGGTTAGAACCAAGAAGAGCTGGTCCAGTTGGCTTTTCACAAGCTGAACAGACATGAAGGGAGAATTCCCATCTTTTCTATCTATCTGCTGTGCCCACATGAGAAGAGGAAAAGTGATATGTACTTGGGTGAGAATGGGAGCCCAAAATAAGTTATATTCTTATGTTGCTCCACTATATCAGCTAAAAACCGAAGAGTATCTTAATACATAGGAAACCATTCTCCAATCCTTCCTTTGCAGGAACCTTAAAAACAACTAGCTCACTCTGTTCAACCCAGAGCGCTGCATATAGAGGTGAAGAGAAAACAAAGATTTGATCCTGAGGTGATCCCCTAGTGGAATATGACCTGGAGAACATGGCTTGATCCTGCCAAACCAAAACAAACAGAAGGCAAATTCACAGTCATTCTAAGTTCACTTCAGGGCCTTAAAAATGTTACTGAAATAATGATAGTTCCTAGTTCTTTGGACAAAATGAAAGAAAGGGATGAGGTAACACTCTGAAACACAAAACACACAAAAAAAGTTCTCAATAGAATATAACAGGAAAAGATGCTCCTGACTCCAATTCACCTAAGTCTAAAAGAAAGGGGCAACAGGATGAGGTATTTAGATCTTCAATCTATCAAAGGAAGACTAACCATAAAAGTCAGTTTTTACTTGCCAGTGTCCTCACTGAAACCACATCCAGAATTCCTGAGCCACAAGACAGCGATATTGGTTACAGAATTAACATAGTAGGTCATAAGTAAAAATTCCATTCACATGAAAATAGCCTGTCTTCAAAGCATGAAGAAAACTATAAAACACGCCATTAGAGCTAACTTTATTTTGTTAAATGCATTAGGTGATGGAATCATTTTTGTTCTTCAAAAGAGAAACAAACAATGTACCTGAGATAGCTTCCAAAATAAGCAACAATATTTGGGTGTTTACAATCTTTCATCATAATAATTTCTTGCTGCACAACTGCAAAGTCTTCTCCTAGAATAAAAAACAAGCATGTTGAATATTTAATAGTTAAGACGTTTCAAAATGTTCTTTATTTCAAAAGATAATAAGATAATTATACTTACTAATAAGAATAACATAATTAGTGAATTATAAATAAAACAATCAATAAGTTAATGTTATTACTTTTAATGACAATTTCAATCCTGACTTGAGTGGAAGTATAGCACAGTGATTAAAGCATAAACTCTGGTTCCACACCACCTGGATTCAAATTCTAACTCTGTTCATCACTAAGCTGTGTGAACTTAGACAAATTACTTGACTTCTCTGTGCCAATTTCCTCCTCAATAAAATAATATCGTATCTCACAGGGCTGTTGTAAGGGTTAAATGAATTAATTTACATAAAATGCTAGAACAGTGCTTAAGCTCAAGCTCTACATAAGCATTTGCTATTATTACTATTAAGCCTTGGACATAACCATCAGTATAATTCATCACCAGGAAATATACGTCACTTTTCTCCTTATTGCTAAATAACACTTAATATAACTTTAGCACAAAGAAGTAATTATTAAGTCAGGGCAGAAACTCTTATGCACCAAGTGTGTCAAATATATCTCCACTGGTTCTCTGTAGAGCTGAGAGGCCTACACTCTAGCAGTACTGGGTTTCCAGATGGCCCACATACACAGGCTTATCCTTGCTCTAACTGTGGTAGGATGCAAAATGGAACTGTATTTGAGCCTGATCAGACTACTAGCATATAATCTCTCTCCTACTGCTTTCCTGCCCAAATTCTTCAAATAAGATCTGGCAATCCTATAGCAGTGTCACATGCCATGCTCCTGAATGAACACTTGTCATAGACAGAAACAGAACTGCAGTGAATGCAAATGTGGTAAGCCAAAGACTATACAGAAAGAGAACAAATGGAAGTGCTTACACTTAAGTCAAAGTAGCTTTGCATTACTAATTCCATTTTCAAAGTATTATATACTATGACTAGCCTGATTAAATGCATATTGATGGCAAAGTAAAAAAAAAAAAAAAAGGCTTCCCAATTACTGCTCAAATTATAAGTATGAGGTTTGTTATAAGACCTGACATTTCTGGCCTTGATATTTTCCTATAGTAAATATAATTGAGACCTCAAGTAAGCCCTAACCATAAACCGTTTGAATCCAATATCGAAACCCACCTTACTGTCCCAGTTAAAAGGGAAGAAGTAATGGAGAAGAGAGTCAGATTCTGCAATTATGTGAGTACAAAATCAAAGATCTCCAAAGGGAGAAAAGGAAATTTTTATGCTTTCAAAAATTCAGAAGATTGCTGAACTAGGATCCTCTTACGAGTTCACCACCCAACATTAAGAATCCCTGATTTTCAGTATATTAAGAAGAAATCCAACCTAGAAATAATAAAGCCATAACTGGACTAACACCAATTTTCATAGATATACTAAATACTTTGGAAGTTCTGGACTTTTGCTTCCCACCACCCTCCTCCCCCCAAATTATGCTTCTCTCAAATCCAGTGAAAGGGCACATATGATCAAAGCTGATCTAGTCAGAGTAAACTCGGGACTTTAGTTTGATGGTTAGAAGACAGAAGCTTTCTTTCTGGGGTAGCCCTGAATTATTAGCAGTCATGATACAGGGAGCCAGCCTTAGAATAAAACTGATCTGTTAAATGCACTGAATAAAAACAGAAAGGAGGGGGCCGGCCCGGTGGCGCACTGCTGTTTTCAATGGATTAGCCAAATTCCATTTTCAGTGTCTTAACTCAGAAACCCAGGCTGGAGAAAGAGATGGGATTTGGTCAACCCGGTGACAAGTCAACAGGGATTTTTCTCTGTTTATTCTGTTTCAGCTTGGGTGATGTCTGACAATTAAGAAATTAAGCAGCAGTGCATGGGTTATATCATTATTTTTTTTTCCATAAATATAGGGAAGATGATAGTTCCCCATGTTTTTCTTCATTAGTGTGTGCTTGTCAAAAGTAATTTAATAAAATTTATTTAAGGGGAAAATGGTAAATCCATAATTCAGTGTGTCAGGATATAGCAAATCACCCCATGAATGAAGATAAAAAGGAAAGACAGCCCCGAATTGAATCTTTTCAAATCACTAAATATTGCTCTACACTTTCATTTACTAATGTATTAATTTTTAATTCCTACTGCATTTTAGGCTGTAATGGTTGCCCTTAAATCTTTTATTTTTTACCCTGGTTTCCATTTCTTCTTTCTGTAAAATGGATAACTAGTACGGTTATGCCCTGTCAAGTTGTATAGGTACAATGGGTTACAATGCAGAATTGTTGCAGGTAACTCGGGAAGCAGAAATATTGCAATGTTCCTTAAAGATCATATAGTTAGGGCCGGCCCGGTGGCGCACTGCTACAGTGCGCCGCTAGGGAGTGCGGTGGCGCTCCCGCCGAGGGTTCGGATCCCACATACAGACCGGTTCCCGCTCACTGGCTGAGTGAGGTGCAGGCGCAGCGCCGAGGTTTGCGATCCCGTTGCCGGTCCCGGTCCGGTACGGGCGCAACACTGAGGGTTGCGATCCGTTGCCGGACACGAAAAAAGACAAAAAGGAAAAAAAAAAAAAAGAAACAGAAAGGAGGGCATTTAGTGACATAAATAAGCTATGACAGCAAGCCTCATCTGCTTCTATAAATTTCAGACATATATAACTATAAGCACCACAACTCCTACAGTGATCTCTGTACATACCACAGCCCTTATTACACTATTTCAATATTCACGTCTATGTCCTCACTAGAATGAAAAGTCCTCTAGGATAGGATTAACCATCTTTTTAACCTTAGCATCTAATATGTAATCAATAAAAACAGGTGACAAATGAATCTACGCTACCATATAATTCCTCTTCCTGATGACTCTAAATCAGGACTATAAGCTTTTGGTTTAATTTCATCCAATTATTAGAATGTTCTATACAATTAATTGCTTATTTACTACTCCTTTGATTTCTATTAAAACCTGTTAGTGGCTTTACGTCTTCAAGTACAACTTTCCCAAGAAATGCTGTCATCCAAGGTGCATCATTTTTTCTTACTAAGTCAGCTCTGTGACTATGAGAAATTATGGCCAAATTAAATTCAACAGTTTTGTAGGGAAAAATAATCCAAAGAAAAATTTCACATACTCAATTTTAAAGGCAACCAAAAAATACAGACTTGGGTAGGAAAAAAGAATTTAATACATTAACAATCCAAGGGAGCTAACACTGCTTCACCTTTTAGATACAAATTGATAATCATTGTTATTTCCAACATTTCATAAAATTCTTTTTTTCCTTATTCTTTTCCTTGACAAAATAATAATAATAATCTTAAATTGAATGGCTACTCAAATTATCATTGTTATTTCCAACATTTCATAAAATTCTTTTTTTCCTTATTCTTTTCCTTGACAAAATAATAATAATAATCTTAAATTGAATGGCTACTCAAGTTAAAATGACTCCTTTTTCGTATTTCTAATTATTTGCACTGGTATCAACTGTATTATGTTTATTAGACCTACTCATATCATTAGCATAAACATTTTGAATTAATGAACTAGCCAATAATCTTTTTATAAAATAGTGAGGAAAAATGTAATGAAATAAACAATATACAACTAAGGTTGTTGAAATAAAGATGGTGAAGATGCTAAAATCAAACTATTGGCTGGGAGGCAGCACTGCCATTTTTATCTGTTTAACAGCTTATTTATCGAAGTCCAAGTCATTGTACGAAGGCAGTTGACATATGTCTGCATACTGAATGGAAGCAGGGGTTATATAAAAATCAAACAGGGAAAGCAGACTTATTCGTACTGAGAAGTGAACTAATAGACCTGTATATTAATGTCTTTAGGAAATCAAGTCTTAGTTTATGGGTAAAACTGTGTATCCTCTGCTCCCTTAGTTCTATCCCCTATGAAGTAAACATGAGCTACAAGTCACCCTCAATTATCCTTTGTTTTCTTATTTTCCTTTAATCTTCTTTATTTCTCTCCTTTGTTTAACATCTTCATTCTCTAATAAACTGACATAGTTTTCCAGAACTATCTTGACAAATGTCATTATATATGTATTTGTACTCTTTGAAAACAAACACACACCTGAAAAAGAGAAGAAACAATTTTTTAAAATCCTTAAATTAACATATTAGAATACATCAGATTAAATTATTTACCTAAGAATAAGCTTTAAAATGTGTGGGCCCTACACAAAGTATTTTGAGAGATAAAAGACCAGAAAAAATTGAAAAACACTTCACTTTTGAATAGGAGAACTTACTAGGTAAAGATGGTAACTGCCTTATGAACTAATCCCTGAATAAATGCATTTCCAATCAAAATACCAATTGAATCTTTTTTTGAACATAAAAAAATTACAGTTAAATTCATCTGGAAAAATAAATATGAGGGAAGTTTCGTAAGAGATATTACTTTAAAATAGGTAGCTCTTATTTTTGCAGAAATAGAAAAAAAGTCCTAAAATTCAGAACAAGCTTGAGAAAGAAGAACAAAGTTCAAGGCCTCACTCTTCCTGTTTCGAACACATTACAAAGTTATGGTAATCAAAACAGTATGGTACTGGCAAAAAGACAGACATACAGATCAATGGAACAGAAGAGAGAGCCCAGAATTAAACCCACACATATACAGAATGCTCTTTTACAAGGGTGCCAAGACTTCACAACAGGGAAAGAATAGTCTCTTCAACAAATGGTGCTGGGAAAACTGAATATCCATATGCAAAACAATGAAACTAGGCCCTTATCTCACATATACAAGAATCAACTCAAAATGGATTAAAAGCTTAAATGCAAGATCTGAAACTAAAAATCTTCTAGAAGAAAATGGGGAAATGTTCATAACACAGGTCTTGGCAATAATTTCTTGGATATTTCTTGGACACCAAAACAAAAACAGACAATTGAGACTGCATCAAACTAAAAAGCTTCAGCATAGCTAGGAAACAACAAAATGAAAAGGCAACCTATGGAATAGGA